TGGCCACCTTGTTCCCTTCCATCCTTATCTTCCTGAACTTATCCCAGTCTGTGAAGTGGAATTCTCTCTGCTTTTTACGCTCCACGGAGAAGGTAGTGGCAAGAATGCAGTGGTCACTCCCTAGGTCTACAGCAAGGTTCATCCACTGGGCCTTCTTGATGTTCCTTACAAATGTAAGGTCCGGGGTGGAATCCCTGCAGCAAGATGTACCAAGCCTTGTTGGTAGGCTGGGGTCTGTGATTAGGGTGAGATCAAGTTCACTGGCACTTTGCCAAAGTCGATTTCCTTTCCCAGTGTTGTACTTGTAACCCCATGTATGATGAGGGGCGTTGAAATCCCCTGCTATGACGAGTGGACATTCCCCGGCGATATTAACAGCTTTCTTTAGAACCGTCTTGAACCCTTGCTTTTGTTCCTTTGGACTGCTGTATATATTAAGAATGAAAATGCTCTGACGGTTGCTGGTACCCGGCACGATCTCTACCAAGACGTGTTCCAATCGGCCTGCTTCTATCTTGAGGTCATGGGTTACGTGCGTTAGTTTGTTGCATACGAAGGTGCAGACTCCCCTCCCTTCAGTATCCCCTATAACAGGCCGGAATCCAGGCAACGTTGCTTGCGGTGAAACGGTCTCTTGTAATAATATAATATGAGGCTTTTCTTGTCTGCTCCTGATATACTGCTGCAGGGTTGCCTTCTTTTTAAGGTAACCTCTACATTTCCATTGCCAGATACGAAATGCTTCACGTAGCGCTGCCATCATGGTTATTACATGGGTGGCCAGAGCCTGATGCTGCACCTGTCGACAGGTTTGGTACCACTAGTATTGGTGGCCGAAGGGGTGAGCTTGGTGCATGAGGAGGCCTTGCTGTGTTGTGCAGATCTGCTTCGAGCTTTGTAATGCGCAAAGTCACATGCTCTTCCAGTGCCGTCACGCTTGATTGTAGCCTACCCATCTGCTCGCTAAGATTGGCTACTACTTTGCTGAGCGTGTCAAACACCTCTTTCATATCTGACATGGTCGTTTGGTTGGCTTCCACGTGTTCTGCCATCACTGCCCTCTTTTTCGCGGTTCTCGAGTCCCCCACGTTTTCAGCCACAGGGACATCAACTGGCTGAGGCATTGGCTGTGAAGATTGCGCGCTGGTTAGCTTAGTGAGAAGAATTTTTATTTCCTTTAACTCAGCTGATAGCCTCTCATTTGATTTTGTAAGTCTCGCGTTTTCTTGCTCTAGCTGTGCAATTCTATCATGCTCTGGCAGCTTACCTGTCATCACCTCTGCCCCGCCGTTGCGCACTCGCTCAGCCCAGCTGCCTTTCGAAGTAACTGCAGGCGTCCTCCCCGGGTGTGAAGCCGTGATCTCGAACTGAACGCCAGGTAGCTGGCCGTTCGGGTGCCGCCCAGGCTGATCCCGACCCTGATGGTGACCTTGAGAACTCGAGCGCCCCCGTGATTGGGAGCGGGCCTTGGGTCTAGAACCTCTTCTAGAGTCGCTGAAGTCCGCTAAGAAATGCTTCGCAGCCCCGCCGTGGTGGTCTAGTGGCTAAGGTACCCGTCTGCTGACCCGCAGGTCGCGGGATCAAATCCCGGCCGCGGCGACGGCATTTCCGATAAAGGCGGAAATGTAGACCCGTCTGCTCAGATTTGGGTACACGTGAAAGAACGCCAGGTGGTCGAAACTTCCGGAGCCCTTCACTACGGCGTCTCTCATAATCATATGTTGGTTTTGGGACGTTAAACTCTACATGTTTATTGAAAAATGCTTCGCTTTTAAAATGCTGCCACCGTCTGCTTGACATGGTATGTAGTAACACTGGCAAGACTTTCTACTGCGAGAGCGCTGACGGACGCTGAGAATAAAATTTTAGAATGCCACCTTCTCTATACGTCTGCATAAGTACGCACATTCGCAAGCTCTGGCTCTGAATTTTAGAACATTTGAAGGAAGCCTGTTTGCAATCAATGTTTATAACGGCACCTTCTATAAGGTAGGCCATAACTGAGTGCCGCAAAGCAAGACGTATAGGTAACGGAGCCAATTCCGCACATGTTCCTACAGGCCAAAAAAAAGCGGTGAAGAGCTCGCACTGTGAACCTTAGGAATGGTAAACAGCCATCAGATACCACAAGCGCGTACAGAAAGCACTTCTGCGTGGAGGATTTTTTTTTGGGGGGGGGGGGAGGAGGGGGCGTAGTGGTGCAAGAAAGCACCAGCCAAACGCTGATACGCTTATCAGTATACGCTGGCTAAGCGATGACCTTTTTGTGGCGTTAGCCACACTGGCCGAGCCTAAGTGCTTTCGGGTTCATGTACAAGAGGCGCCCTGCGAATGCATGAGGAGCAGTGACAGCACGTGCCTAGCCCATAGAGAAACGTACTTACATAAAGAGCGGACACTCCCGTGGGACCCTGCGGCCCTGCTACTGCGCTGCTTTCAGTGCCACGAGTGTCTGGTCAGACCCAATAATCTCTTTTGCGTAAATGAAACAACAAAACTTTTTTTCTTTCTGATGCTGGGATGTAAACACGCACCCTTATGTTCCGGAAAGGAGTGTCTTTGCCACTGGGCTACACACCCATTCGTTCACGAAAGGAGTACATCTACAGCACATGTAAACCACATGAATTTGTACCCTTTGTGCAAAATAAATGCAGAGAAACAACACTTTCTAGTCAGACTTTATTGATTTTTATGGTGAAGGATTAAGCACTTTCAGTTGGACACGTTGTAAAGCGGGTGTGGAAAATTGCACAAATAAATAAAGTTCCGTGTTTGTAAAAATTTTATGCCAAATTTATGTTTTCATTGACCTCCTGAGGCGGCTATTATATGCCGTGACAGGAGAGTGGAAGCGAGCTTTGGCGCGCCTTCTAGCAATCGATCAGACCACATCTTGCTGGGCCGCGAAGAGGCTCGAGTGGCCACTCTCTAAATAGGTGCCGGTCGGCGCTTTCCCGAGAAATGACGTCATAGCCGCGGCAGGAATGTTCTGATTGTACCCAGTGTCCATGATGCTGGTCCCGTCTGCCGCAGCCTTTCATAAATGCAGCATTGCCTTTGGTAGTATAGTGTAGTCATGGAGAAGGGAATTCGAAATGACCGCTCAGCGATGAAGAACAGCGGAAAACCTCCAATATTTGGACTTCAAAGTAGTTGCCTCACCTGGCAACAATAAGCGCTTGATCTAGCGTAGGAAGAACGAACAAAACAAAGACAGCGGAGAAAAGGAGGAATGTGTAGCGAAGTGGTGTCGCCAAGGCCGATTGGCTGACTATACGGCGAAACTTGGCGAAAGCGCCACTGGACTCGGACCGTCGAGACGGACCTTGTAGAGAAAGAGACACAGAAAATAAAATAAGGGAAAGGTAGGGAGGCTAACCAATAATTGGGGCATCTGGTTTGCTACCCTGAACTAAAGGAAAGAGGACTGGGGAAGAAAGATGGGGAAGAAAGCGAAGAGCAAAATAGACACGCAAGAAAAAAGAGAGCGGGGCTACTATAGCTTTGTAAGCAATGCGTTTGGACATGTGTGCGACGTGTGTGAAAGACTGTAACACACGCAAACGGCCTGATGCCGGTAACTAGTGCCATGCGTGAAAATACGACTTCAGAGGCGCCCCTTTAGACACGCTACGTGTATCTTCGCATAGCTGGCCATTGCTAGATTTTTTTTTCAGCAAGGTGCCTTTCATACTGAGACACAAATTTCTTTTATTCACTTTCAAAAGCAGGTTGCCCCATCGCAACGTCGTTTTCTAAGGGGCTGTCTCTACTCTTGCTGAAAAGTGCGATGTGTGTTGCGTTACAAGAAAAGATTTTGCCACCAGAATCGCTGTACACCCTAAAAAGCATGTCACACATTAAAACTATCGGTTTCTATGTGTACAATTTGTTCTTACCCGCTTTTAGCTCAATCTATAAAAGCAGCACATCATCAACGTCATCTCCCAAAAATCCACATGGAAGCAGTCAACTGTTATAATTGATGATTATGATGATGATGATGATGATAACGATGATGATGATTTGGGTTTTAACGTACCGAAACCCCCATATGATTACGAGAGATGCCGTACTGAAGGGCTCCGGAAATTTCGACCTTCTGGAGTTTTTTAACGTGAACCCAAATCTGAGCACACGGGCCTACAAGGTTGCGATTTTGTTCTAGTTTTATCTATGCCTTCCTTATTGCAAGGAACTTATAGCGATAGATTCGTATTCTTGGGGAGTTTTTACTTACTGGGTTACATGATGTGCTCAGGCAAAACAGAATTATAAAACATAAGCGAATGATTATGCTACTCATTTCTGCTTCCGAGTGGTTGCGCGTCTTCAGTTGTGGCATCATGTTCTTCCTTCACTCACAGATTAAATAAATTGAAAACCACTGAAATGAACGTAATGGCACCAATATCCTCATTGAAAAGGAAGAAGTGATCGGGAACGCACGGGCAATATTGGATATAAAATGAAAGTACATTTATCGGGAGGGCCCCTCGTACTACGAATCTATCGCCACGAAGCCCTTGAAATAAAGAAGGCCAGATAGAAGTACAAGAATTGTGTTATGTCGCAATATATTCCTATATCCTGTAATCACGGCACTCGAACTTTTTATGAGCTAATTACAGCCCAAATAAAACGTATCAATCTACATCCAAATTTTACCCCTTACTACCGAAGACAGTGGTCAAGTAGATTTTAGGCCCAACGTAATTTTAAAGTAAATTAGTGGCATGAGCACACAAGCGATAAAACATGGAAGTAGATTCGACCGTACTTTCAGAAAAATACTTCGTTTTTGTCAGTTTTTGTTAACGTGCATTTGGCACTTTAGAAAACGAAGCACCCCATATGAATTCAGAAAACCTCTAAAGAGTAAATCGGTTTTTGATCATGAAAGTTTAGCGTTGTATTTCAAAACGTAGTCATACATTTTACTTAAAGACTTGCGAGTTCTATTGTCCTAAAGATCTTCGATTCGACCTTTATTTCAGTGTCCATAGCGATGGTGCGGCGACAAGGATAACGGAGAGAAATGTTAACTGAAAAACAGCATTCTTCGATTGATGCTATCGTAGCAAAAGCTATATGAATGTTTGTTCAGCACATCAATCGGACCTGTGGGTATTGCAGTGTCTGTATCAAGCACACTATTATCCTGTTTTCTATGTTTTTTATGCGTTGTTTCGTAGCTTGACGAGTGCAATCTGAATAAAATGATGAGGCTTTCTTGCCCTAACTGAGTAAATCATGTTTGAAAAATGCACCAATAAATGTTTAGTATAAGTAAACATGAAGTTCTTCGAATCGTGGATATTGTTGTTTTTGATTTGATAAACAAAGAATGAAAAAAAAATTTTGGCAACAGCTTTTGAGTCCTTAATAGTTTACGACTAAAGACAAAATTATTGTATTAAACATGAAAGGTTTTCGTTATGTGTAAGTTAATCACAATAATATGCATTATATCAAGAACAGTGGTTCGTATTAGGGAGGCTTGTGTAATGTATCGTTATTTTAATTTATGAATGCTCTACAGCTTTTACGACTATGCCACTCATATAGCAGCAGAACAAAGACATAACAATAGAGAGGCAGTGGGAGGCCGTGCTGCTCAGCTCACATCTGGTTCACGAACTCTAAGCAGTTCTGGCCATGTCGGCGCAAGTCCTCCTGGCCGTCACCTAGGAGAGTCTGACGAGGGTAGTGCGCGTTCAAGGGGCCTGCTTCTACGCTGCATGAAACCGACTGCATAGAAAGTGTGCGCGCAGTATCGCATTAATAACGACGACGTCGAAGGTCAATGCGCATGAGAGGGCGAAGCACAGCACTGCAAAATGAAGTGACTGGGAACCAATATGAAACTTTTGCAACACCGTTCAGGAGGGAACAAGTAGCCCGAGATGGATAAAAGAATGGCAGACACGTGAAGATGGGGCGTAGTTCCACGTTACATGGCAAGGAGACCGTTGTCAGTGGACTGGGTGTTCAAAACGACTGGGTGTCTGATTGCAGACCCAAACCTTTACAAAGCTGCAGCCTTCTCCCATCTCGTTCCGGCACGTGGAGACCGGGTGCTTCCCATCACGACGTGGCCCGCAGCTCCCTCACGACTGAAGGAAACGGGGCCGGATACCAATGATTCGCGAACTCCAGCAAAAGGCATACACACACCTGTGTGGTCAGGAAGTATAGCAATAGTTGGCCTAGGAGTCTGAAATCTTGTGCGTCGAGTGGCCTGGCCAGGATACTGCTCACATTTGATACTATCCCACAGAGTCAACGTGTCCTTGTCGTAGCCACTCAGCCCACGTTATTTACACAAGCCAGATCCACCGCCTTCGTGGCGCGTGCAACAACCATCCAATCCATGTTCTGGTTAGAATCCGCCATGATTCTATCCCCACTATGCTGCTCATTTGTGTACGAATTATACTGCATAGTCTGAGTCCTTATGAGTGTTTAACCATTTGGAGTGAACCTTTGTTGAGTACATGGTTTTATGTAGGCTTTTTTTTCGTCTTGCTTCGGAAGTAAAAAGTTTTGGGAAGATTCAAAGCGAATAGCCTTTTCCTTCAGTGTGCTGTCAAAAGCTCAAATAATGGTCACAAAATATAAAAGAAGTCTTCATCACGACGAGATTACTCATTCCTCATAATTATGCCGACAGAAAGCAGATTTGCTCTTCATCATTCAGCTTTCATTCATTGTAGGCATTTCTGCATTGGTCTGAGAAGGTTTTGCGGTGTCTGTAAATCAATATATGACTTTCGTAGTTACGAAGCAACGACGAATCAATGAATAGAACGGCAGCAAATGGGAAGGCTGTAGGGAGTGAGGCTACCACTCTACCCATTCAGCATTACATCTGGTGTGACTCAGCGCACACGCAGTCATCAGGAAACTCCGTCACCACAGCCAGTGAAGGGACGTTTGTGCTGTCTGTGGATTCAATGCAAGCATTAGAATTACAACAGAACACGTATGCAGACATGGTGCGAGACAGGCGAGCTATTATGGAAGGGGCCTACACCAAAGGCAAACAGGACATGCACATACAGGACATTAGGGCCTGTCCTGTTTGTCCCCGTCGCACAGCACTTGTCTCTTTCGAATCAAGTATGCCCGAGCACTCCTTTTGACAAAACGTGCAAAGGTAGGTGCCGCCAGCGGACGAATCATGTATGACCACTACCGGTGGTTCAAAGTGGACAATTCCTGCTATGGAAGCGCGTGTCCCACGTGGATGTTTTCAGTGTATTCTCACCGCATGTCTTCTGTGTGCGCATGTCATCGCTGTGCATGTCCTATGGGCTTTGCCTTCGCTTCTTTCTCGCACTTCTTAGGCATGATATAATTTCAGCTAGGTGCAATAGATACGTATACGGGATTTTTGCCGAGTGCACACAACAGACACTCCGCCACCTCACAGCCAAGCCGCGTTCAAATGAACATATATACACTATAATGCGGCCACAGGGATGAGCACAGCCGTAGCACAGTGATAGATGATTGTTATAGCGCGAGCTCAGAAGGACGAGAAAAGAACAAGAAGAAGACAAGCGCTTGTCCTTTTGTCGCCGTTCTTTTGTCGTCATACCAACTAGCCGAAACCGCCACGCTTCTCAGTAATAGAGCATCGGGCGCGTTATTCTTTGGTCGCAGGTTTGGTCTCTGCCGCCACCAAATCATCTTTTCGTCCAGTTTTCTTTCTTCGGATTTACAATGCAATTTTTTTGCCTGGTATCATCATCTGTTAGTTGTGTATAATAGCATATTATTAGCCGACATCACGAGCGCATATACCGTAAAAACGAAAATACTAGAAAAGAGCTGCAAACATTTGTTGATTTCTGACAGGTCTGGAAGGCAAGTGCCAGCAGTGAGTGAAGATGCCACGATTGCATTTCTGCTGAGAGGTTAACTAATGTTCCTGTATGCCAGAATAAAATATTCCCGATTGAATAAAATGCAGCAGGCTGTTGGAAACACCGTTATTGGAAGTAGTCATGGCCGTAATATCTACGAACGTATCACAGGAGACGCACTTCATTCAGTGGTCCTCTAGTTCGACTGAACACACTTAAGCACCTCCTGAAGGCATCTGCAACAGTTTGATGATTTCTGACAGGTCTGGAAGGCAAGTGCAAGCAGTGAGCTAAGATGCCACGATTGCAGATCTGCGGAGAGGTCAACTAATGTTCCTGTATGTCAAAATAAAATATTCCCGATTCAAGAAAGTGCAGCAAGCTGTTGGAAACACCGTTAATCCAAGTAGTCATGGCCGTATAATCTACGAACGTATCTCAGGAGACGCACTTCATTCAGTAGTCCTCTACTTCGACTGAACACACTTAAGCACCTCCTGAAGGCAGCTGACAATGAAGCTCAATTTAGAATGGACCAAACAGGCAAAAGCCACGCGTCACTGCGTTCATGAAAAGGGCACATGCCGGACCACAATACACGCTAATCAATACAACTTTGGGCAGTTTATATGCGTGCAAGTTATCACAACCTAAATGAACATTACTGCATTCTTCAGGAGCATGGTAAGTAGTTCGCTGGCAAACGTAATTAAGTTTGAATATCTACGAGAGACAGCAGTGCAAACCGATGAGAAGAGTTCTGTACCAAAAGGTGATGCCAGCACATCGTTGAAATGTTACTCATTAGTTAGTGTATACTCAAAAAGACTTGTAACAGTAGATAGTGTTAGTGTATACTCAAAAAGACTTTGTTGAGCAGTTCAATTATTCTCTTGTTCCTGGCGAATACAAGGACGCGGAAAACCGTGAAATCAACGTTGACTAAGAAGGTAATTTTCTTGACCGAAGAGCAGCTCGTCTAGTAGGAAAAAAGTCACATGAAGCAAACAAACACACCGCTCTGTCTGTCTGCTTCGTGTATTTTTGTTCATTTTTGTTTTCTCGCTCAGAGTGCGTACCGAATGGCCTGCCAAGAGTCCGTGTTGCAATTTATATGACTGATCTGTTTATTTTCTCATGGACATGAGATATTTTTTATTACATAAGAATTAAAACCTTCATTAATGCTTTAAAACAACATTACAACACTAAGATTAGGAAAACCAGTAGTATCTATGTTCCTATCGACAAAGCATCTCGTTTATGTCACTCAGTTTGCGTAGACTAAAATTGACGCGAGATCGTATAGAAATTCCAACCGAACAAGGCTTCTCTTAAAACATAGCACCCAGTTAAAACTTCTCACACGCAATTAATTATCCTCACGCTATCATCGTTTCTAGCTACTAAAACGAAAAGCGCCAGAGACAATGATACAATAAATAGCGGGATCTCAAAACGCGTTCACGCATTCGTCTTATCCAGGAGTTAGTATTGTATAAAGTGTGACGTCGCTATTTCATCAAGTACGCATCTTTTTCGGCTACTTAGCTAGCCTGAAGATAGCTCATACATTCCAGTTTAACTTTTACAACTATCCATAACAACTATTCGACACACACATTTCTATCTGGGCTAAGTATATCAGTGACTGTTCATTCGCGAGCTCTCGGCTATTATTGCGAAGGCTGTATTATACACGCACATAGAATTACAGCAAGTATTAAGAACGCTGTATTGTGAGTATGCGTTTACTTTTCTAATTGTAACACTAAGAAAATATTGTATGTTTTGATTGATTTGATTGATATGTAGCATTTAATGTCCCAAAACCACCATATGGTTATGAGAGATGCCGTTGTGGAGGGCTCCGGAAATTTTGACAACCTGAGGTTCTTTAGCGTGCACTTAAATGTAAGCACATGGGCGTACAGAATTTTCGCCTCCATCGGAAATGCAGCCGCCGAAGCCGGGATTCGATCCCGCGACCTGTGGGTCAGCAGCTGGGTACCTTAGCCCCGCCGCGGTGATCTAGTGGCTAAGGTATTAGGCTGCTTACCCGTAGGTCACGGGATCGAATCCAAGCTGCATTTTTGATGGAGGCGGAAATGTTGTAGGCCCGTGTGTTTATATTTGGCTGAACGTTAAAGAACCCTAGGTCGTCGAAATTTCCGGAGCCCTCCACGGCGTCTCTCATAATCATGTGGCGGTTTTGGGACGTTAAACCCCACATATCAAAGCCGGGTGCTTTAGCCACAGACCACCGCGGTCGGGCATAATGTATGATTTGCTGCTTATAAAAACTTTTGTTCAACTGCATACTATTTTT